CACATTGCATATTTCGAGACGGTGCGTCTCTTCAGTGTCTGGCTGTATGAGATATTAACATTGCACTTGCAGCTTCCCAGACTTGTTTAAGGATTTTACAGGTGGGAAAGGCTTGACTAGCGAGTGTTTGACTCATGGTCACAGGGAATTATTTCATGAGCAGGGAACATCTTTCTGGACGATGAATTCTTGGAGGTGTACGAGCATGGGATTGTGATCCCTTTGCTGTGATGGCATCACACACAGATTCTACCCCAGAATCTTTACTTACTCGGCAGATTATCCCAAAAAGTATGTGAACTCCTATCTGATTGTCAATGTTATTAATTCAGATTTCACCAGAGTCCTTGTAGCCACTATCTGCAATCTCGGAGGCTGTCCATGTCTGCGTTGCTTGAAACCTAAAGAGCGCATACAAACCTGGGCAGGCCTCAGGATAGGAAACAGCGCAAAACCTTAGCATGCAGCAATGATGAACGAAAAACTAAGGTAAACACTGCGCGGTCTCTGATCTATGAAAAGAACTTTGCAGTCAGCAGTGGCACCGGTCGAGCAAATTCTGAAGTCGCAGTCTTGGGTTCCAACCTTGGTGCAGTTTGACTTGCATCCCTGACACTCACTAACCATTCAATAGAACACATTCTTAGATCACCTCGGTCCTCTGGGTTTCGATATTTTTTGTGCACTTGTGGTAGATCTCTTGCATGAGTTCAAGATCGATGTCTGGAAGATGCTTTTTTATTCATTTATTACAAATCATTACAGCGCAAGATAAGGCTCTTATTCATGAGCTGGACTGGAGGTACGTTGCATGACCACGCATTACCCATTCACTGACTTTGTCACCACCAGATACAGGCAAATTCCTATGTTTGGCATGGCTACTATCAGAAAATTTTCAGCCAACTCATCTGGGATGAAACATATGGCAGCTTCGAAACTTCGAAGACCTCCTTCAGGTATGTTCCCATTGTCATTGAAGTTGAATTACGCATAACGCGATCTTGAGTGCTCTATCCCTGTCTTTGACAGCCTACTCCCTGAACCGCACAATTCATCCATTCTGCAGTTGCTATATACCATGGCACATTGGCATGGGCTCACCAAGCTCCAAATGCATTCTGATTGGACACTTGATATCATGGATCAAGTCACTTCGGCAGTCGGCCAACAATTCCGCAACTTCAAGGCAATGGTTTGCTGGGCTTACATAACTCGCGAACTTCATCAGGAGGTCGAGGCTCATGCCCGACGCAATGCAAAGCAAGCAGCAAAAAAGCGGGAGGACAGAAAGGGTAAACATAGATCTAGTGTGTTAGAGCAAGGGGAGGCGGTAGAGTCACAGACATCACGCCAAAATATGCAGCGCACAAAAATGTTCAACTTCCAGACATACAAGTTCCACGCTTTGGGTGACTATGTATCTACAATCTGTCAATATGGCACATCCAATTCATACAGCCTCCGAACCTGTACATCCCCTAAATTTGAATTTCTGCATATAACTCACTTACTACTGCAGGGTGAACTCGAGCACTGTTATCCCAAATCCAGATATTGCCGGACGGATCGCAAATTATTTGTCAAACAGCTCACCCAGATCAAACAATGTCAGACTCGCATTCATCACATAGGTGACAAAATTGTTCATCGTCCCCACACCAAAATCGCCAAATTAGCCAGAAGCCCGCATGTCCACCATCACATTGGTGCTAAACGCGAAAGTGCCCTGTTCACATAGGATCATATCTAATCAGCTATGCTGGTGATTCGGCGATCAAGGTAAGTCCAATTATCAAGCGCAACAACTCTAACACGCTCTTGCAGAATTTTGTTGTGAAGCTGAAGTTTCATCTGCTGAATCGAATTCACGGTGCTTGAGGAGCAGGAGGAGAGAACAACATCAATATGGTCATATTTAAGGATGATCGGATGTACCACCACAACATCACCAGGTTCAACTATACTACATACGATGTTTGCAGAGCCCAAGACATTATAAACCCCAAAATGTCCCACTGCAATGTGATGGTTCTCCGTGCCCCCAACAATGTGGGGCATCAAGGTCATAGATTTATATATGGTAAGGTACTCAGTATATATCATGCTGATGTTATCTATATCAGAAGCGGCATGGTCAACTACACTCCACTTTGAATGGAGTTCCTATGGGTTCGTTGGTATGAACCCATGGATCAGGTCTCTGCCTGGGAGACCTCAGCCCTAGATTGACTTAGATTTCCGCCCATGGCGGATGAGTATTTGTTCAACTTCCTTGATCCAGGAGATGTCTTGAGGTGATGCCACATAATACCGTCTTTCACGAAGGGCAAGAGACACCCAGAAGGATTGGGTATGTCAGCGTGTGCAGAAGATAATCATGATTGGCGCGAATACTTAGTCAATCAGTGAGTCGGGGAATCATTATTGTATAACAATATCGAAACTCATGGATCTAGGTTCATTGATTGTGACATGCTGATGCAGTTTCATTTTGGTCTTGGGGTTGGACATGTCTACTCTCACCATCGTGGCGTGTCTCCTGACCTCCAGCCAGGAGGGAGCACAGTACAGGTCATCCCCGCAGGCCTCACGGACATCAAAGGAGATGTCCAGGAATATGACAGTGAATCTGAAGAGGGAGACGATGGTACTTCAAGAGTGGGAGTCATGGAAGACATCGGGGAGTGGTTTGGTGCCAGCAATGAATCATTGTTGGAACAATTTGATGAAATGTACGATAGCGATGTAGATTTAGATTATGAGAATTAGCGACATGCAACCCCACATAATAAGTTTTTAGCATTTTGGCATCTAAGTCAATGGCACTGCGATGGCACAGTTTCATTCTATGTACTATTCTATGCACTCCATGATGCACCATGGCATGTGTTTACATCTAATCAGATGGCACTACAATGGCACTCGCTAAAATTTCACAAATAGGTGGTTATAAAATGCATTATTTCATTCTTGACTACCTAGATATCAATGCTTTTCCTCTTCAATTCAACAATGCTGCACCCTTCTTCGACTCCATTCTCTTTCAAGAGGATGCATTGTTTACCTTCTCAGTAAGTTATTTTCTTCACTTCAATATCTAAGACTCACTCATGCACTCAAACAGTTCGTCCTTAAAAATTGCCCTGAGACATCGGATGTTTTGGCTTCATAGGGTATAGTTCTGTAGGGTCCGCCGGCAGCTCTTTACCCTCTTTATGTATGCTACTTGCATGCCTTGAAAGTTTTTTGCCATGTGTCATATACCATATATCCGGTTACAGATCCGATGATCTGGATCTCAGATCCGATCCAGATCCGATGAACATATCCATCGTCCGGTCCACAGATCCGCTTTGATTCTTATTTCATTTCCTGTTCATATAACTCTAACTATCGTTCATCTCCTTTCGGTATCCTGTACAACGGTATACCGGTTATCCTTTACTTCCGCTTTGCTTACTGATCCGCTACACTTACGAATCCGCTTTTACTTGTACTTCATTCCCGGTTTCATGATTCGTGATCCATCCAACTTACCAATACGCTCCACTTAGACTTTGCTTATACTTTCGTACATAGCCTCGCACCTTGCTTATGGATCATTCCGTTAGCTATCCGTAGTATATAAACCTTTGTATATGCGCTGTAGTAGATCAGTTCGAATATCATCTTAGATTGCACTCATTCCGTCTGGACTCTGAGTCCCTCCGTTATCCATCCGGACTTGAGTACGCTACTCTTGTCTACTCCAAGACTTAGGATAGATTCCTATAGTCTACATATCCGCCTCTGTCTTCGGACAGTCCTCACCCGTTAGTTTTCTAGTCCGGATCCGATCCGGATTGGCCGTTACTCTATACACGCGATACTTTAGCTCTCTGAAATAAGGGGCAAGACTCGGGAAAGGGGCACAACGCGCACGAGCTGAGGCCGAAGCCCTTCGGATCCGATACTACTTGAGTACGGAGCCCCTTCAGTGACAAATCCCGTATTATACGGGTCACCCGACCTACATAATATCCCGTGTAATACGGCCAGCGGATTATGGGCCGATGTTATGTATAATTCCCGATGTTGACGGGTGGGCTGGGAGGCATATTATTTCCGATGGAGACGGGTGGGGCCCATCTATGCTAATGTTATATATATCATCGATGATAGCGGATGGGCCGGGAGAAATATTATTATGGAGATGGGTGGGCCCATGTGGGTAATATGTAGAGTAGGATTGACATATATTATAGACCTGAGGAGAGATGTATAGCAAATAGTATTATATAGACGTGTTGGCCGACGTATTAGTATTATTTTGTAGACGGATGGGCCGAGGAGCGGTGAAATATTTATTAGATAGACGGGTGGGCCGACGTGGGGTAATATCAGATAGACGGGTGGGCCGAGGGTGAGGGGAATTATTTATTACATAGACGGGTTGGCTGATGTGGGGTAATATTAGATAGACGGGTGGGCCGAGGGTGAGCGGAATTATTTATTACATAGACGGGTGGGCCGACGTGGGGTCATATTAGATAGACGGGTGGGCCGACGTGGGGAATTCTACATAGATGGGTGGGGCCGACGTTGGGTAATATTAGATAGACGGGTGGGCCGAGGGTGAGCGGAATTATTTATTACATAGACGGGTGGGCCGACGTGGGGTCATATTAGATAGAAGGGTGGGCCGACGTGGGGAATTCTACATAGATGGGTGGGCCGACGTCGGGTAATATTAGATAGACAGGTGGGCCAAGGGTGAGGTGAATTATGTATTAGATAGACGGGTGGGCCCAGATACATATCATATAGACAGATAGGCCTAGGTATTGTACATTTTTACGAGTTTCGAGGGCCTCGAGTTAAGAAAATTCAAATTTAAGATGATATACATTTTTGTTGTCTTGAAATACCGAGACCCAAGACCCGAGATTCGGCACTCGGTAGTCGGTGAAATGAGTACAGAAATACATAAGATAATACACATTGTTCTCAGAAATCACAAGTTTCAAATGTCGATTTGTAAATCACGAGTCACAAGTCTCGAGACTCGAATCACCGAGTACCGAGTACTGAGAACCGAGTATTGACAACCCGACACCCGGAATTCGGCACTCGGCATGCGAGACAAAAGATTGGAAACAAAACTCAAAATTCGAAACTCGAAAGTACTGACTACCGAATACCAAGTACTGAGTACTGAATCTCGGGTCTCGGTACTCGGTATTCGGTACTCGACACGATGCTCGAAACTCGTAAAACTGTTTCAAATCACCGAGTACTGACCACCAAGTACCGAGTACCGAATCTCGGGTCTCGGTACTCGACACAATGCTCAAAACTCGTACAACTGTTTCGAATCACCGAGTACTGACTACCGAGTGCCGAGAACCCGAGATTCGGTACTCAGTACTCGGTAGTCAGTACTCGGTGATTCGAAACAGTTTTATGAGTTTTGAGCATCGTGTCGAGTACCGAATACCGAGTACCGAGACCCGAGATTCGGTACTCGGTACTCGGTACTCAGTAGTCAGTACTCGGTGATTCAAAACAGTTTTATGAGTTTCGAGCATTGTGTCGAGTACCGAGTCCCGAGTACCGAATCTCGGGTCTCGGCACTCGGTAGTCAGTACTTGGTGATTCGAAACAGTTTTTACCGAGTTTTGAGCATCGTGTCGAGTACCAAATACCGAGTACCGAGACCCGAGATTCGGTACTCGGTACTCGGTACTCGGTACTCGGTACTCGGTAGTCAGTACTCGGTGATTCGAAACAGTTTTATGAGTTTCGAGCATCGTGTTGAGTACCGAATACCGAGTACCGAGACCCGAGATTCAGTACTCGGTACTTGGTATTCGGTAGTCAGTACTTTCGAGTTTCGAATTTTGAGTTTTGTTTCCAATCTTTTGTCTCGCATTGAGATATGAGCAAAATACTATATACCCGGGTGAATTTCAGTATTGGAAGTTTGATGCTTTCGATGTTTTTGATGTCGGGTCTTGATGGCTTTCGGGGCATTAACATGTAGATAGCCCTCGATCTCAGGGGTGTGGCAAAATTTAGATTGTCTGAAATAGATATAATTTGAGTGAGATATATGCAAAATACCACACACTGACTACCGAGGGCTGAGTACCAAGTGCCGAGTGCTGAGTGCCGAGTTCCGAGTTCCGAGTTCCGAGTTCCGAGTTCCGAGTTCCGAGTTCCGAGTTCCGAGTTCCGAGTTCCGAGTTCCGAGTTCCGAGTTCCGAGTGCCAAGTACCCCCGATGCTCTCGGGTATTAACACCCAGATAGCCCACGCTCTCAGGTGCCTGTCAGAATTTAGATCATCTCAACGGATGTGATTTGAGTGAGATATGAGCAAAATACTATATAACCAGTTGAATTTTGGCATCAGAAGTTCGATGCTTTCGATGTTTTTGATGTCGGCTCTCGATGCTTTCAGGCATTGACATGCAGATAGCCCTAGATCTCAGGGATTCATCAGAATTTAGATAGTCTTAAATAGATATGATTTGAGTGAGATATATGCACAATCCAAGATACAGGGTGAATGAGTCCCAAGTGTTTGAGCGCCAAGTGCTCAGTTCTGAGTTCCGAGTGCCGAGTGCTGAGTGCCGAGTGCTGAGTGCCCCGATGCGTTCAGGCATTCAATCACTGTCAGGAGGTGTTCCCTCATCCACCTCAGTGCCATCAGTGTTGCAATCAAGCTTTCTCTGCCGTGTGCTGAGTGCCGAGTTCCGAGTTCCGAGTGCCCCGATGCTTTCGGGTATTGACACCCAGATAGCCGTCACTCTCAAGGGCCCGTCAGAATTTAGATCATCTCAAACGGATGTGATTTGAGTGAGATATGAACAGAATACTATATACCGGGTGAATGTTGGCATCAGAAGTTCAATGCTTCGATGTTATTGATGTCGGGTCTCGATGCTTTCGGGGCCGATCTCAGGGGTGTTGGCAAAATTTAGATTGTCTGAAACAGATATAATTTGAGTGAGATATATGCAAAATACCACACACTGACTACCGAGTGCTGAGTACCAAGTGCCAAGTGCCAAGTTCCGAGTTCCGAGTGCCCCCGATGCTTTCGGGTATTAACACCCAGATAGCCCTCGTCCTCAGGGGCCTGTCAGAATTTAGATCATCTCAAACAGATGTGATTTGAGTGAGATATGAATAAAATACTATATACCAGGTGAATTTCAGCATTGGAAGTTTGATGCTTTCGATGTTTTTGATGTCGGGTCTTGATGCTTTCGGGCATTAACATGTAGATAGCCCTTGATCTCAGGGGTGTGGCAGAATTCACATTGTCTCAAACAGATATAATTTGAGTGAGATATATGCAAAATACCACACACTGACTACCGAGTGCTGAGTGCCAAGTGCCAAGTGCCGAGAACTGAGTTCTGAGTGCTGAGGTGCCGAGTGCCGAGTGCCCCGATGCTTTCGGGTATTAACACCCAGATAGCCCTCACACTCAGGGGCCCATCAGAATTTAGATCATCTCAAACAGATGTGATTTGAGTGAGATATGAACAAAAATTCTATATACCGGGTGAATTTCAAGTGAGATATATGCAAATACTATATATTGACTACTGAGTGCTGAGTACCAAGTGCTGAGTGCCAAGTGCAGAGTGCCCTGATGCTTTCGGGCATTAACACCCAGATAGCCCATGCTCTCAGGGGCCCATCAGAATTTAGATCATCTCAAACAGATGTGATTTACTTAGTCCCAAGTGCTGAGTGCCGAGTCCCAAGTGCCGAGTGC